CATAATCTTCTACAATTCAAGATGTGATGGTATGAATGCTTCAGTAAAAAGGACATTTTTTTATAAAACTAAATGAATAAGAAGTGGAAAATGAACAAGATTATGCTTTCCTCAGCACCTAGCTTTTCATCCAGAGTGACTTATCTCATTTTACTGGGAAACGTATACTGTAAGTATCTGAAAACTAAAGGTATCCGAATACCTTCCTGGTTACAATAGAAATGGACATACAATACGTTCTGGATTTTCTCTGTTTAGTCTCAGTCCGCTCAAATTAGGTTAATGTATTTTCCAAGAGAATACCACCATTTTTTTTCCATCATATTTAAAAGCAAACAATAACTATAAAGGGTCAGGTGCTTCCCTGTATATTGTAAATTTCACTAAGCACTTATACTGTTTTTATAAACATAAAGATTACCACATGATTAAAATTAAAGAGAGCTCATAACTCATCATTAGAAACCAGCAATGGGATTTCTAAAATCTGGTTCCTGTTGAAATAGGAGAATGCATTCCAGAGTAGGCCTACATACAGTATAATAATTGCTTTAAAATTTTGAAATAGAAATATATTTCGACTCTAGGAAGTAAGGAGGGAATGATGAATCCAAATAGTGTGAAAGGGATGGAGATTTAATATCTTCTCACTTCCAGCTGTTGAAATGATACTTAGATGATTTTGAAATGATTGAAACGAAACAGGCAGTTTCGAAGAGCCTTTCAGTAACCTCAATCCTCGCAGTAAAAGGCTTTTACTATTTTTTACTATTAATAATTAATATTATTATATGGGATTAGGTAGCCAAACATGAGGCAAGACTTTAACGCTGAATATTGTCAGTGCCTTTTGAATGAATATACAGTAATTCATAGTTTAACCCACCCTGTAGTAGATGAAACGGTTAGAAAATGGATGGATGTATCTTAATCCAAACTGCCCTCTGCTGGCAATTAATCAGAAATGCACACTTAAGCAGCCATATCATTCAAAATATGAATAAAATACTGTGATGTACTTAAACAGAGAGTCTCCTTTTCTTAATGTATCAAGTAGCTCAATGGCCCCCTCTTGTTTGAAATGGCTCTTGTATTCTTATGCTGTCATAATATTGTTTCCCTGAAATGTCTTCCCCTAAAAAAGAAAATGCCGCATCACTGTCCTAACGCTAAGAAAGGGTACAAAAAGCACCCAGCTAAACCCTACTCCTCAAGCCTTCCCCACCGTTTTCCCTTCTATGCTGGGAGACGCCATTAGACCATTGCTGTTATCTTGCCAAATCAGCTGTGAGTGACAGGCAGAGTCCTGAAATGGGCTGATAACTGTGTTTCTTATCAGCGCCATGCTACGTGGACGAGCAAATACAAGGAATAGCATTGTCTGCTGTGTCTCTTGGGTCTATGAGGTAGACTGGCCAGCAGAGCAACAACTCCGTATAACTTCAGCAGCTTGGTAGAGTTTAGGCTGTCTCTGCACTGGGCCCACTTGATACCCTAGGAAGAAATGGTGTGCCATGATACGGTAGGTGGTACTGAAGGGTACTCATGGCCAGGGATCTGTTCAAAAGCACTGTAGATCCATTATGGGAAAATAGTTGCAGATTTAACTCTACACCTACCTCCGTTTGTGGCAGTGAAGAGAAGGGTGTCGAATGGTATGGGCCTTGGAGATTGTGGGCTGTAAGGCAGGGCAGTAGGTCAGAGAGGGGGTGTGGAGAAAGACTGATAAGCAATCGAATGGGACCAGGTGGTGTTTTCCATCCCAGGAGGATCGGTGTGCTGAGAGCCCATTCTGCCACCGGAGCCAGGCCACAAGATCTTTTTGACTGTGTGGGATCACAGAGGAAGGTCTCCAAAGGGAGGGTGTAAGGTGTATTTAGGAGATACAGGAGAACCCAAGAGCAATACCTGTCACGGGTGTCGGAAAGGATGAACCATGGAATGGCAGGAGAGTGAAAATAGACCCTGTGCGTAGCGGCGAGACGGGGGTTAGCCCGGGCTCAGCTGTTCAGGAAATGCCGTATAGAAACCTATGCCCTCAGGGCAAGGACAGGAGTGACCTGGTGCTAGGCGGGTCTCAGGACATCCGAACCTCAATGCTGAGCGAGTTGCAGAGCAGAAGCAGGAAGTAAATAGGCTACACAACAAGACACACCAGAAAGACATGAATAATCACAGGGAACTAGGAACAGGAGAGAAGTAGAGCGCCCTCTAGGTGTACTGGGTGTGACAATACCTGGTTCCCCATCTGGACGCCTCAGTCGTGTCAGCCAAAGCTGCAGTTGTCAGTGCACCACATTCTAAGAGATCACTTTATTAGCCATATATAATTTCTTGTATTAGGAATTTGTCTTTGCACATACCCCAGCTTGCTCTCCATGAGACACACAGACAGAGAGAGAATCTTGGGGTCAGGGCGCAGGGTCAGCCATTTTATATGGTGCCTCTGGAGCAGCTGGGGTTAAGGGCCTTGCTCAGGGGCCCAACAGAGTAGGATTCCTCTGCCGGCCACAGGATACAAACCAGCAACCTTTCAGCCACAGGCGCAGATCCTTAGCCACAGAGCCACCACACCGGCTAAGGCCACCCATACCAGGTGAGCTGGAGTCGAATGACCCAAAGCTCAATCTACTGAAGCAAAGTACTGTAGCTCTGGGGTGCATTATGTACTATAGCTCTAAAAACCTTCTGTAAGAGGGACTTTGAGGTTCTGCAATGGTCATGTGGGCACACTGGAACTTTGCTTAGTACAGAAGTAACACACCCAGGGTCACAGCGGGGTCACAACAGAATCACCCAGCAGGGAAGCATTTCTCCTGATAAACCCAAGGCATTAACAGTACAACTTACAGTACAATTGTTGTTTGATTTTTGTTAATGTTATGCTTTGACGCACACTATTATTTTTTTATGATTGTCCGTACAACAGGTTCTAATGACAGGGAGTCTTGTGCTGATTAGTGACAGATGGTGGCGCCACAGATAAATAAAGCACAACATGTGAGGCGAGTGGCAGCCAAGTTCCTCTTCATAGTTCCTTCCTATCACCATACACCAAGCTTCAGGATTTACTGCATTGGGTAAGGTCATTTGTGTTTCTATTTACAAAATATAAATAATATAATATTGCACCGAAGAGTTACAATATTATGAAATAATGAAATTTTGTTTTTTGTTAGTATTATTCTCATCACCGTTTTTATTATTTATATTAGGAATGGTATCTAACTAGCAGTTTAAAAATGTGGAAGTCTAGATTACTTTTTGTGTAATATCTATCTTAATAATCACAGTTGCATATGGATATAGATACAATAAATGTTAAGGGGAGTTAAGGCATGTAACTTTCACTTTCGTTTCAGTACTCGGAATAATGCTTCTCAGGAGTACTTTAGAAACTAAATTTGGATTAAAGTATGAGAAGATAAAAATAGCTTTCTCGATATTCATTTTTAAGGTTAGATTTGAATGAACTTGAAGAATGGTCGCGTTTTCAGAATTAACAAATTGTGTAGGAACTGGGAAAGCAGCTTGACGGGTGATCTTGCGCAGCTCTGAGACGAGAAACGAAACTATTGAAGTTCAACGTCAGATTAATAGCGGCAGGATACGGATTCTCCATAACATACTCTTTACGTATGAGTTTATTAAAATATTTTATTTTCTCTTAAATGTGTTCGCGTAAGCGATGGGCATACCTGGAGACAGGGGGGAAATTGACCAAAATTCTTAGCCGGGAAGCAGTCTGATGTTGGTTTTAATGGCATGCAGTTAAAAATGTTACATTTATCATAAGTAAAACGGATTTTTTTATAGCAACAATTTGCATGCGTTAAAAAAAAATCCTCCTGGTTTATCAAGAGATTTCCAGATTTCAAAGTTTTCTGAAGATGGAGACTTGGGTGACAGAAATAACATTTTATATGTGATATATGCAGGTTTCTAATGTTTTGCGGGGGCTGGGGAGGGGGGGCTGAGAGTTTTAATTTGAACTCTTCTTTTCTCTATCAGTCACATCTAATTGTTTTCGCTTTTAAATCTGGCGGTTCTTGTCAATATGTTTAATCATTGTATCTGTGTGCTATTAATATATCAATATTCATATGTTAATGTGTACCTTGTATCTGTCCCTTTTATTGAAACTTCAGGTGAAGTGCGATGGACGCTGCATCCCCCAAAGAGCATCATCTTAGCCCAAGGCCAGACTTGAATTGCGAGCATGAAAAGGGGCAAATACGAGATCTGAGTGTCCTTCCCATTAAGAGGAAAAGAACCGAGAGCAGTGACCAAGAGACTGATGTCCTTGCTTTTAAAAGTCCGTTTACAATTCCAAATGTGGAAAAAGATAAGAAAAAACAGGCAGTTCAGTTTGGAGTGAAAAGGAAACTTGATGTTAACGAGAGAAAAATAGGGACGAGGAGCCCAGAGAGTGGAGATACGACAGGTGATGGAGAGAGGGTTGAGAGAGAGGTTCCGAATTGTGACGTTGAAGGAGGAGATCCTGTCAGTCAGGGAGATCCTACTGCAGGTGCTGTCTGTAATTCAAGCGCAATTGGAGTTTCCAATAATTGTGGGGGAAACAACAGATCTCAGAATAAGGGCTATATAAGCATATTACAGGACAGCGGTGGTGGAGACGGTGTTTCTGAAAACAGAGATCATTACTTTGGAATTAGCACTAATAAAGATAGCTGCAGGCAAACCTTACGGGAAGATGAAATGTATCATGCAAAAGGCAAGTGCACGCAAACCTTTTTTACAGCAGTCAGCCCGTCGAGCGGTTTAGATGCTGAGTGCACAGGTAGCTTC